TTTGAACATACTTGTTAATGCAGGTCCAGGAGATATCAGCTCACCTGAAGAGGGCCAGCTGCCATTCCGTGAATTCCTGCTGCTAATAAGTGTGGTCCACAGCATCTCATCTGTTTGACTGTGTTAAGCTGTATGTGTAGAAATTCCTCTCAATAAATAGAAGCTAGAAATTTTTGATACTGATTGAGGTGTCTGATAAGAAGTAACAAGGAATTTCTCCACCATTTATGACAGCAACATTGTTAATCTGGGGATGCAGAATATGAAAATTACTGGGAAATCATGACTCTTAAAATTTACTTACATCCTACCCTGCTGATTGCAGCAGTATTTGGTATTTAGAGAAAAATCCCTGCATTTGACAGACTTGCCTCTCAGTTCTGTTAGTGTCACAATTTTGAAGGAGCACATACTGATGTTTTAAAGAATTTTCTTACTTTTTCTCCATGGAACTCTGTGGAAAATCACTTACAGATTGTCCTGAAGGTATACTATAGCCTGGACATCATACATACATTTTATGAATATTAAATGAAAGGTAGCCTTGCATGGTAGAGTTCAGGAGAATATCATTGCAGAAGTGGAAAATCAAGAATGTTTTGCAGAGTTCTCCAGCTGAGTCTGGAGCAGTATGATCTGCTGCTGTGGTTTTGGTTCAGATTATCCAGATTGTTATTGCCTTCAACAAGTTACTCTCTTTGTGTTATTTCAAAATGAAGGTTTATTACCAGTCAAATCCAGTTTTATCGACTAGAAACTCTCATCTGTCTTTTGAGATGGTGTCTGTTGTTTATCTTAGTTTTGGAGATGTAACATGGGGGAAGAATCAAGTGTGTAACCATGCCCCCAGTGCTGCTGGGTTTTGTGGAGGGAAGGTAATGTGCTGTGTACAGGAATGAATGACACAAGGAGCTGGAGAAATGTCTGTGCTGCCAAAGCAGCTGCTCATGCACTCAGTCTGTGTTGTCTTGCTGCAGCTTTTGATGCCTGTGTGGCACTTTTCCGAAAAGAAAGGGAATTTTAGCTAAACATACTAGCTATTATATATAATAAGAAAAAGGAGTAGATTGTAAAAGGCAGGAATGAAAGCACAGACAATATGAATCAGTGCTTCACTCTGGATTTCTTCAATTCTCATTGAAACGTAACACTTCTTGAATAACCATTTTATCTCTAATGAGAAGTTTTAACTTTTCTTTGTGGTTTTATCACTTAGAAAATTAACTCATTGAGTAACAGCTTTGTGGTTAAAGGAAAAGAAACAAGCCCTTCCTAACTAGTATGCAAAAATAAGCAATGTAGTTAAAAAGCTGGCTTGAATACTCTGGCGTACAACTTTCCATTTCCAAGGCCTATGATTCCCTGAGGAATTAGCTGCCTCTCTAAATGTAATAAGCCTCACTGCACTTTTTAACCTGGCCTGACACTGTAGTACCTGCGGAGTACAGCTCACTGTAAATCAGGATTTCTTAATATTTCCCATGTAAGTAAAGATTATCTAAGTAGGCACTGATAGCAATAAAACACAGGTAGCCTCTTCTTGCACTAATGGGTGTATATATAACATTTTTGATATTGCTGTTTGTTTGCTGCAAATATTTTGATAGCTGCTGGTTATTTGTATAGTTGCCTATCAAAGTTTTAAAATGCTGTGTAATATGGACACTGTGGTGTGCACATGGTGGATAATGGGAAAACTGGTGAACTGAGTCATAAGGCACCAGGGGACAGCTACAATGGAAAGTTGGGCCAAAAATACCTTCTAAAACTGAGGCAGATTATAATGCAATTTTTATCAGGTCTGAATCAAGAGCAGCTGTATATGTACATATTAACATATAAAGAGCTGCAGTGTATATGCACATCTCATTTTGAAGCTGCTTTATGAAGTAATAGAAGTGGTTCTGGTCTGTCACCAGCTGTTACAATGCAGTAGCTGCTGGTTTGCTCCTTAGGTGTTCTGTGGTATTTTGGAACATGAGTAGTCAAGGAGATGCTTTTTGGGGGAGACAGTTTTTTGTGATTTTAGGCCTATATAGTATTTATTTCATGCTAAAACCAGGTACTATCTACTCTCCTGGGAACTGATACTGTAAAATAAATCTATTTTCCCCATCACTTCTGATACTGCATTGAGCATTCAGCCTGAAAGAGCTAGGTAGAATGATGTTTACTCTGTTATGTTCAAAGGGCCTTTATTTTATAACCAGCCTAAAGCACACTATAACTGTTGGTAAAGAATCTGGCACAGCTCAGGCAGTGTAAGGGAATGTGTTTTCACTTTTTCTCTTCATTGATTGCAAGGACAGAGACACTTAAAATTGTTTAGGACCCTAGAAAAAGGAGTCAAGCAACTGACGAAGTTGACTTTTTTTCAATACAGTTTGGTTTGAAGCATCTGGATCATTGATTGTTCTTTTGCAGTGATATATCTTGTGCTGATTTTGGTAATACAAGTATTATATATGCCAGCAATAATGCGTTGAGGAGATTCTTGTGTGCAAAAAATAAAGCAAAAGAAGTCTTTTGAAAGTTTGCATTTTGCTTAAGAAGGCATGCCAAGCAGAATTATATCCAACCATACACTGTCATGTTTTAGGCTGGTACAGAGCTTTGCTGTCAACATCTTGGAGCTGGTGTCTGTCAACACCAACATTGTGCCTTATGCAGGGAGCAGACAGCACAGCTGCTGTGTAGTTCTTTCCGGTGATTTAAGTCAAACCAAAATGTCTCAGGATTCAGTCTTTCTAACTTCCCTGAGACTGCCAAAACCCTGTTTTCAAAGTAAGGGATGCAAACATCTCCCCGGTAAGAGCTTGGAGTGACAATGCATTTCACAGACACAGCTGGGTGCCTGCTGGAGAGTGCTTTGCTGCTGCTGCTCTCGATGCCTTGCAGCAGGTTACAGACTCTCCGCTGTTTCCCAAGAGGAGCAGGAGCATAAAGAGCAGCGATCTCTCTCCTCCTGTACCACCAGCTTTACCATACACTAAATATGATGAAATACAATTAAAGATGGAGCTAACAAGCACCATCTTTACCAAGCCTAGAGCAATAGCTCTGACCAGGAGTTCAGCTGTCCCCTTCATTTGGGAAAGCCCTGAACTTTTGGTCATCTAAATGTACTAATTTTGTCTCATCCATGATGACGGTTTTTAGTGTTTTCTTTGCCTCTGGGATTGACTTACCCTGTAGCAGATGTCCTCTTCTGCTTTTTTTCTGAGTTAACTGCTGTTATCCATTTCTCTGTGCAACAAAGATACAGTTGATTTGCTGCTCACTATAGAGCAACTAAAATAGGATGGAAAACCTGAGTGCAATATGCAGCTTACAGAATCAGTGGCTTCTAAATGCAGGTGATGCTGTCAGCCCGCCCAGACCTTAGCATATGTCCCTTGTCCAAGTCGACAGCATTGCAAACTGTGTCACTGCACAACTGACAGATTATGTCTCTGGGGACAGCACTTAAGTTAATTGTGCTGATCATGAAGTTGTTTACCCAAAGCAAGTTGTCTCCCAGTATAGCCACTACTGATTTCTGGCTGGGTCCCTCCATCTTCCCAAGGGACACTAGTTAAGCCAGTCTGAGGTGAGTATCTGCTAAAACTGACTTCCCTCAGCTCTGAGAGGCACCAAGATGATGGGTTTTCTGCATGGGACACACTCAGGTTGGTGCCTTGAGGGAGTGCAGAATCCTTTCCCTTTTGCACATCGTTCCTGCTTCAGGAAGACCCTGCACTGTTCCTCTGAGACAGTTTCTCTGTCTGCTTTTCCCAGTTCTTGTCAGCTGCTGTGTGACACCAGTAGGCTTGCTAGGTCTGTGTTTCATTTCTTTCTGAAAATTCTTGCAGTCTTGCTTCAACGTCTCTTGAATTTGTGTGCCTCAAGTTTGCACTCCTCTGTTCTATAGGGAGGTTAACAGACTTAATCTACCTGTCTTCTGATACCTTCCTTGTTATTAATAATTGTTATTAATAAGGGGAAATAAGAAAAATTTGAAAGTGTGCTATGTTTCTGAGAGCAGAGATGGTAATTTTTCATGAACATGTATAGCAGCCTTTTCAAATATATGTCAGAGTTTAAAACTGTATTTCTCAAAAGATCACACAAAGTCTTCCGAATGAGCATGTACTTGAATAGAGCAATATGTATCCTTTAAAAAGCATAGGCATAAACCATTCCTCTTTTATTCCTTCCTCAACTCTTAGTCAACTCTTTGCAGTAATATTTAATACTGTATCAGTCATTTCATATCCATCATTCAACAGCTGACTGCTTATGCAGTTTACTGTCTGCATTGCTGTAAGCTTGTGTGTATATGTTTCTCTTGAGTACTAAAGTAAAACATTTTTAAAACATGAGTTACTTTTTCTTTGGTAGAAATATAAATATTTAAAACTCAATGTTTCACAGCTTATGTTTTCCTCAGACTTTTCTAGCTAGGGAATTAAATGTTTTAACTTCTGGCAAGTTAAGCACTGAAGCTGTTTATTTATTTCTAGTTACACCAGCTAGCTAACTGGCAAATTTCTTTCAGAAATAGGTGAATCCTTGTGCTTTAAACAGTCAAGTACATGAATTGGTTAATGACTTGAAGCTCTAGCTCACTTGCCTTTCCTGTCTAAGGAAAAATATTTGTGTACTATCTTCTGCTCTCTTGGTTCATTATGTCACCATGGAATATGTCAATAGAAATAAAACTAAATATGAGGAGGAAAGGTGGAAACTTACAATTGTGTTATGGTTTAAGACCTCTCTCTTGTTTAAATGTCTTTTCTACCTCTCCAGCTGCCGTTGTCTAGTCAGATTAAAACAGACTCAAAAGAAAAATCAGGATTTTCTGAGAGTGTTTTTCCTTAATATTTTGCAAAACCACATATGTGTAACAAAGATAACAAAACCACATGTATTCATTAAGAATGCAGTTAAGAAGTTTGAAGAGTGTTTCTATTTGAGAGCTGTAAATGAAAGACTAATCTCAGTAAATGTTTGTTTTACAGAATGCTGAAACCAAGGTGGAAGAAGCAGGTAAGGAGAGTCCAAAAGCAGCCAGACTAACACAGCAGTCATCAGAGGACAATGAAGTATTTGGTGAGTTACTGCAAAAAGTTTAAAATGTTTTTTGATGTGTTAGTACAAAGGGAATTCCCACAAAGATGCAGTGATCTAATTAATGATGTACAGCATTTGAGTGCAGGCTGTACAGTCCCACAAAGACCTGGAAAGATGTTGGAAAGGACCAAGGAGAAAACAAAGAGGGATCAGCAGTCTAAAACAAATCGTCCCTGAGGAGAAGAAAGATTGAATCCAAGTGTTCAACAAAATTAAAGGTTTATGCAGTAAGGGAAAATAAACTTTTCTCTATCCATAATGGAGAGGATAAGCAACGAATTCTTAAAACTGCAGAAAGAAAGATGTGATCAAATGTCAGGAAGGGAAATACAGAAACAAATACTAAAGCATTGTGATGCATCATCTGGAAAGTGTGCAGATTCATCATTGCAGGCCTTGAAAAACAGGTTAGACAAGTAACTGTCTAAACTGATGTAATCCTCTTGTGCCAGAAGGATAGACCTGGTGACCTTTGAGAATTCTTGGAGGCCTCTGTTTTAAATTAGCTTCTCTTGGCATTTTTCTGTGGATCCTTTCCCTGCTCTCCATATGGGTCTTGCTGATATTTTTATTATTTGATCTGAAAACCACATTTGACCTTTTCTTCTGCATTGAGTTTTGGAAAAGAGACAGGAAATCATAGAATCATAGAATATGCTGAGTTGGAAGGAACCCATCAGGATAATTGATTCCAACTCCTGGGCCTGCACAGAGCACCCCAAAAATCACAGCATGTGCCTAAGATTATTGTACAGACACTTCTTGAACTCTGTCAGGCTTGGTGTTGTGAGCACTTCCCTTCAGAGCCTGTTCCAGTGCCCAAACACACACTATGTGAAGAACCTCTTTCTGATAAGAGCAACCTTATTATTACAACTTAGGGTTGATTTTATACTAATAGAGCTCCAGTGAAGAAGCAGTAGTCTAACAGTAATGCAGGAGAGGTTAAGGCAAGGCTGATCATGTGGATGTTACTAAGGCTGACTAGCTTGAAAACTTTTGGATGAGTGAAATATTTTTGAATACAGTAAGGATTTTTTTTCTTTCAAGGTACAAAAGGAATGGAGCATGAAGAATTAATAATTAGTCTTTCTTACTAATAATGGAAACCATTTAAAATCATCTTTTCTTAGTGAGATAATATAGTGTGATTGGCACATGAACCTGAATTCCCGGTACAAATATTTCCAACACTGATCATATAGTGCCAGTGGCTGATGAATCCACAAGTGGACTTTAGAACTAGCTTTCAGCTTTACTAAGTGGGTGCTGAGGCTATTACCTCATTTCTTTGCCATTTGCTCTGCCAGTTATTTGCAGTAGATCCAGTAATACTGGCTGTAAAGCCCCATGGCACGGTGTAATATGCATCTCAAACTGTGTCATTCTCAGTGCAGATCTCTCATTTTCTTTCTGTGAGAAGGGTGGAGACAGAAGAGCAAGGAGATCTCCATCTGCCTCTTTCTACCAGCAAAATCTCAGGCATTTAAACCTTCTGTATATTTTGATCACCACTCCCGTGCACCAGAGCTAACCCAGTATTTCGTCAAGCCTGTGGTCGATGTGGGAATTGTGAGTTTAAAGATGGATTTAAGCATGAAGTTCACTGCTGGTAGGTTTAAAGTCACCATCCAGTGATCTATTCAACAAATTCTTTAACTAATTGAAGAAAGTCAACATGCAGTGTTCTGTGTGGTGTTTAAAGCTAATGATTTACTAACAAACTGCTAAATATTTCCATGTTCCAAATCTGTGAACTGAGCTGGTTATCTAACATAAAACACTGATCACCCTTTGATAATTCGACACAACAAGGAGGAAAATTTCTTTCCAACTCCAAAACCAGTCAGACTACAGTATCTTATATCAACCCTCCTACCACTTTGCAAATGACAATCTGGATTTTTTGTTTTATTATTTTAAGATTAGGTCAAAATGGGGGTAAAAAAAGAGGAAGTATGGTGCAAATGGACTCTGTAATCTTCTCTTACCCTGGTCAATTGAGTAAATCAAAGTGGACTGAAGGTGCAAGTGAAACCACTGTGGTAAGAATCAGGGAAAATATTTTGATAGATACAAGTTTCATGTTGTCTTGAGAATGACTTCTGTATATGCCTTTCCCTGCAGTTCTAGGCAATTTCTTAAAATACTCTTACATCTTTTAGGGATAAAGGATAAGCTTGAAGCAGTTTTCCCTAGGTGAGTTTTTTGTTGTTCTGTGACTTAAATGATTACAGACCCTGCAGAGTTATTCTGCCTCTGGCTTGATCTATTTCAAGCTATCCCTCATTTCTTTCTTTTTCCCCAGTGATGCTAATTATACCAAGCATCAAGTATGCACCAATAGCTGGTTAATTTATAGCTCCAGCTTTGACTAGAATCCCTCTTCTGAAGAATTTTTAACAGCCTCCCGTCACTTTGAGCGGGTGCAGCTCAGCCTTCCCTTTTCACGGACATCACTGTCTTCTGTGACTCTGATTTTCCGCGGAGATCCCTTCCCCAGCTTTCTCTGGGCAATGCCACCCCCTGCAGAAAGGTTGGCAGGGGCACAGGGCAGCCCTGAGCCCCCTGTGAGGAGGGGCATCCCTTGGGAGCGCTGCCGCTCCTGCCCTGGGGCGGGGAGCAGCCGTGTCCCCGGCGCCGCGGGCTGTCCCTCGTGGCTGAGCCACCCGAGGGCAGCAGCTGCCAGCCCCTGGCGGCCACCGGGGCGCCTGGACCGCAGGCTCCAAGGCTCCTCAGCAAGGGAGGCAGAGATCTCTGGATTTGTGCTTGTCTCCTCACTTTCCAGGGTGCGGACCAGGTGACAGTAATGTTCTTTCAGGATAAGGGAGCTTTCTCTGCTGTGGACGGCATGGAATAGATGAAGTTGCTAAGGATTGTTACACAGAATATTCCTGATGAACCGTACCATTTGAATAGAGGTTTTTTTTAAAAATACTTCCTTTCTGAGTAAATGTGGTATCAGTCCCTGTCAGATGGGTCCAGTTTTGGAAGCAAACACAGTGTTTGTTGTTGAATGAAAATACCACGATGATAAGGAACCAAGTGTGGGGCTCTCTTTCAAGTCTGCTAGACCTGGCAGCATTCTTTGTAGATTCAAGCAAGGTTTCATCCACTACTGGAAAGGGACACTTGTGAACACTCATAAATGCCTTAGTTTTCCTGTTGTTCTTCTCTGTATGGGTTAAATTTGGGAATTACCATTCCAGAAGGCTTTTTTGCATTTCTCTTTAATATTTATTTTTAGACTGGGGTATAGGTGAAATGACCTTGCCAACGATGAAACCACATTGTACCAGCTGCTTTATGAAACAAACAAGTCAGGTGTGTCTTATGTTTCACAGAACTAATTCTCAAAAGCAATTAACTTTTTATACAGGAGGATGGAGTGGAGAAATGGAGCAGAAGGGTAAGGGCATTGGGAGAGAAAAGACATCTCAGTGATGGCATTTGCAACTATGCAGTTCTGAATTGACAAGAGTTAGTTTTGTTTTCCCTTTGAAAGGATTTTCTTGTGGCACCCAACAGAGTTCTGTTGTCTGATATATACTGAATATGCATCTGTGATGTGGAGCTAGAACGTCTTGCTCACTACAAACTTCTGTTCAACTTGCACGTAGTCAACATGGTCTCTGTTGCTACTAGTATGTAGTCAGAACAGGATTTTGAATTACATCTCAGTCCAAGGAAGAGAAGAAATTTGCTGGCTATGGTGCTATGCATTTAAAGAAATGGGTCAGGAGGGGACTCCTAGCCTTACTTGCAGAGAATATTTTCGGAAGTTTATTTGATCCAATGCTACCCTACAATGGTCAGGTTAGAGCAGGGAAGAAAACTGCCTGTCATTCTGACCACTGGAAGAACTGGAGCTGCCTTTCTTTGGTGTAACCCCTATTACATTAACCTGGAAAATTACAAATGCAGATTTTTAATTATACTTTTTTTTTTTTTCCCATAGGGTTGAATTAGCATAAAATTACAAGCAAGATTTTTTTGTAGGAGGAACTGTTGTATATTGTGTATTCCCCTTTCTGATGACAATGAAAGTCAAAGTGTGCTTTTTGTGACAGAATCATAGAACATTTTGAGTCAGAAAGGACCTTTGAAGGCCATCTAGTCCTAAGCCCAGCCATGGGTAGGGACACCTTGAATTAAATTGGGTTCCTCAGAACCTTGCCCAGTGTCACCTTGACTCTTAACCTGCTCCAGTGTTTTACCACCCTCATGGTAAAAAAATCTTGGAAAGACAGAGTAAGACTTTATCTTTTCAAATCCAAAGGTTTCCTTTTTTATCTAGACCGGTAGATCCGGTCTAAAATTGTATCTGGATGTGGCCAGTTTTATTCTGGCTTAGAGCTTTCCAGGGATCCATGCTGTGTGCCTGGAGTTGTACTGTCAGGTGTTGGGTTTTTGTTGTTCTTTGGGTTTGGTGCTGGGGTTTTGTGCTTTGGTTATTCATTGTTGGTGGGGGTTTTTTGTTTGGTTTGTTTTCAGTTTGTTTGTTCTTTGGGTTTTTGACTAAAAAGAGGCAAAATGAACACTTTTTTCCCCTCTAAAAGGAGAGATGCTATTGTGGAGCTTTTTAAGCACCATCTGCCATTCTGCTGTTTCAAATTGCAGAATTGGGTACGTCCTGAGGAATCTTTTTGTGTGCAGAGCTCAGAGATACAGCAAATGTACATCCAGCACAATTCCATGGTGACCCTGACTCACCCTGGTTCTTGCTTATGCTGATGCCTGCTGCTGTGTCCCATGCAGAATGTCCTGTGGGGACTTGTGTAAACCCACGCAGGATGGAGGACCTCTCTCTCCATGAGACTTCATCTCTAGTGGTTGGACAGACGCAGTCACACTCACTGTGGGTCCTCCTCACCATGGTCCCACTGCATCCAAACATAGGAATTTTTGTGTACTGAATGCCAATTTGGGATTTCTGGTTGGGGTTTTTTTTTTTTTTTTTTTTTTTTGGTTGTTATTGT